TCGCCTACATCGTCCATATAGGACGACTCGGGAACTCAACTCCTACCCCGGGCAGCTCACCTATCCCCTTATGCCCAGGGGAAAGGTATCAAGCCGTTTGACAGCTGATGCTGGCTGTCAAACCGGCTTTTACGCAAAACAGGCGGGAGGCAGCAAACAGCTGCGACCGACGAAATCGCCTGCCACCGGAAGTCTCCAAAAAATAACATTCTGAGTTAATTAAAAATATATTGTTCTTCAGACTATAAACTGAAATTCTTGTTCATGGGTTGTTTTAATAATTTGTTATATAATTTCAGAAACTCCCTTGTATAGTAGTTTTTATTCAGTTTTTCCTTCAAAATGAAACTATGAAGATGCCTATTTTCATTTTATAGAGAGCAAAATCAGACCAACAAAGTGATAAAATCCAGGTGTCGGATAAAATGAATGAATGTGTTACAACAATCAAAACACATTGTGTAGCAATTCTCTCCCTCCCTCTCCAGGATATTACTTGGGAAAACTTGAAAAGCAAAGGGAGAACACAGGAATATTAAAAATGACAGACATTCCTTCCCCAATAAAGTTTTATTTATTTTTATTCCACCTGTATTTTTCACAAATAATTCAAGCTGGCAAATTCTCCCTCCTCCTATTATTTCTCCTAACCCTGTGAATTGGATTGGGCTGTGAGAGCAGTAACTGGCCATTATCTAGCCAGCTTTCATGCCTAAGGCAGGAGCCATTAATTTCACAATAGAAACTTTTTCTGAAAGTTCCTTTTGCTTAGCCTGGCTTACCTTGCAAGTTTTTTGAGGGTAAAACTATGTGGGAGACTGTAGCCCTATCAGCTCCGTTTTAGTATGTTTAGTGGACATGTCTTTGACCTGGATAACCAGTTAACACATTCTCTTTCTTTTGGCCTTTTGTAGGACTCAAAGAGTGCTTTTCACCAAGTGTGGTTTGACAATCCTAAGAGCATTTCTCTGAAATCAGCCTATGCAAAAGAACATGGTCTCAGGGGCATTGGGATGTGGAATGCAAATTGCCTGAATTACTCGGCAAGTGATGCAGCTCAACGGCAAACAGAAACAATGTGGAAAGCCTTGAAAGGCGCATAATTTATGAATTCAGACAGCCACGAATGATTAGTTAAGTTTTTAAATGGATACAGTATAGTGCACAGGAAAAAGCTTGGAAGACTACTTGATGTTCATTTACCTTGTTCCACAATGAGATATGTGCCTCGTTCCTCAGAGCTGTGACATTTTATTTATTTCTCCATAAGGAAAATAATTTACATCAACCATTCTAAGCATGTCCTCTAATTCCAGGAAAGGAAAGGGGAAATATATGTCATAAATATGGCAAATAAAGTTTTTTTTATAATTAGAGTAAAAGGTTTTTGCTTAAAGCATATGACTTGTAAAATCAATAATTGGAGGGGAAGCGGAGGGTTGCATCAATGAACTGTTTTTAATTTACAGTTTGGTTCAGAATATGTTGTTCTGTGTACTTAGTAAATTAAACTAAATTTTTTTTTAAAGTTTTTTATTTATAATACAATTAAAACAAAAATGGACATACGTGGCATTCCAGAGTAAATATTCCTAACAATTTGTTTCTCATGATACAAAAACTTAATACATCATCCTTAACCTCTATATAAACCTCATTCTTCTACACAATACAATTATATATACAATTATATGTACAATTATATGTATGTTTCAATCCTATCGTTAGCTTAAGATCCGAGCGGTTCTCCTTGATTCATACCAGCGGTAAAATTTGTCCCAGATTTCGAAATATTCCAGTTCTGTCTTATCTTTCATAGCCATTGTAACCCTGTCCATCTCTGCACATGATAAAATTTTATACAGGATTTCTTCTTCCGTTGGAATTCCCTTATTCCTCCAATTTTGAGCATAAACCAATCTGGAAGCCGTTAGAATGTGTAGCATCAAATAGAGTATGCCTTTGTCATACTTCTGCGTTGTTATACCTAATAGGAAATTTTTCTAAATTTTTCTTGAAGCAGCTTTGATTTTTAAGATTATGTATAATTAATGTTTTCATTTAATATATACCAGAATTAGAAGTATTTGGAATGTAAAAGTCGAGTTCTTCTGGAAAGTGTTGTAAAATTTTAATATCCTCTTTCTTATCTTCTTTTGCTCAAAGCAATTTGTACTTTTCTATCAACAGCACATTGAGGCCTAATTCCTTGGTGTAAGGATAGGTTTACAACTTGTCTTTCAGGCTGAAGAATTTGAAGGAAGAGCTTGTCTAAGTTTACCACAATGAGATTTACATTCCAGAAACTCATTCTCTAAGGACAAGAAAAGGTCCCAAATCTAAGTGCCTATTTTTAAGCAAACTATTAAATATATCTCTAGATTGCTTGGCCTTGTAAAATTAACCCTGTTTCAGTCTTTCCAAAGGAAAATACACTTGCTAACAAGGAATAGCTCCAACAGATTATGGAGCCAACGAATTTGTGTAGGCTAGTTCACATTATCTGCTTCTTTCATTCTTTCATCTCTTTGTCATAAAGAACATTAAAACATTTCCACCCATCTATAGGAACAAACCAATGGCAATTCTGACAACACAAAACCCAGACCATTTCTGATGCAATGTTATCATATTGTCCTTAACAGTAATAGCTTACTGTGCTTCTTTCTGGTATTGTTAATATCACTAAGAAGCTCAAAACAGCAATATTGCAGTTATGAGAGGATATTTGCCTTGGATGGTATTTTTACCTATTCACACATGTTCTCAGTTATACCTTTTTATGGTGAATTAGGGCAGAGGCAACGTTAATGATTTTCCCATGTTTTGGTAGTATTTCAGTAAAGCTTTGAAAGCTCACTGGCCCTAATCCATCCATCCATCCTCCCTCCCTCCCTCCTTTCTTCCATGTCATGGTCATAGCAATTCAGAAATATGTTTACCATTCAGCCTTCCTTAAGTAAACTTGTTCCTATATCACTTTAATGATATGTATTAGCTATTAATTTTACAAAACTTTTGTGCAGGAAGATAGAATTTTGTTAATTCAGAATCAGTAAAATCCTTGCGAGTAGAACACACATTAGTTTGGAAACATCAAAGGAAACCTCTATTTTTTCTGTTACAAGCGAAAATATAGACGTGCTTGAACTTCAAACATTTAAATATTAGAATGTAACTGAAGAAAAGAATTCATTTCTCTAGCCTCGTTTTATAGTAGTTAGAAACTGGCAGTCTGATTGTTTGAAAGTGCTGTTTAAGCTTGAGAACAAGAAAAAAAATGTTTTGTATTATGAGATAAAAGCAATCAACTGGTTCTGTTTGCCCAGGTTCAACTTCCCATATTCACAGATTCTGAGTAGTAAACATTTATTCATTCAGCTACACCAGGAAGCAAAACTGAAAACACACATTTACTTTATATAGTTGTTTTTTTACAGTAATAAAAAGTGTATTGGTATACATGACAATTGAGTAACACAGCCATCAAATGAATGTGGCTTACAGTAAAAAAAAGCAACCCAAAAAGCTGAAAAAAAATTTGAGAAATAAAAAAAACGTTTACTAATCTTTACTATCTTTAGTCATTGTTCTCCCTAACCCAGATGTGCTATTGTTATAGCAAACTGTTCAATTAAATAGACTAAAGTCATTCTACTCCAAGAGATGATATACAATGGGAGGATAAGGGATTGAAGTCAATCTAGGCATTTCTTCACCATTCCCTAGTAGTCCTTCCAAATATTTATTTGGAGGTTTTCTCCCTCCATTAACAACGCTGTTGCAATGGATGCAACTGGGGTTCTCCCCTCCAAGCTTGTTATTTCTGGTTTGTAGTGCTGTTGTCACATCAGCAACAGAATCAATGAGTGGTTTAGCAATGAATAATTTTTCACTAGAACAAGTTTTGTTATTTTTAATCAAAATAACTAGGTTTTTGAGTAACTACAGACTGAAGAATTTCATGAAAAAGGTTAGCTAGAATAGTTGCTTTCCAGACAGAAATCTTAAAGATGACTGAACCTTCTTGTGCACCAGTTCTGCCTTCAGCGCTTGTAAATCAGAAGTTGCTTGTTTTTTCATCTACAAAAGATCCAGAGATTATGACAGGAAGAATTAAATTACAACTATTATTTTATAGATAAGAGTCAACTTTTATGTGGTTTAAGAAGCACAATCTTGGTCTTCAAATTTTGTAGCCTAACCAGTTACAGTATGATGCATTCTGAAACATGTTAATGCCTCAGGTCATGGTGGATCTTAATATACATAAGAATCATGTTTGATTTGAAGTAAATGGGAAATTGGCTACACTCAATTATAATTATAAAGAATTTGTATTGTGTTGTATTCTGAGAGATGAAGTCCACACATCTTCAAGTTGCCATGGTTGAGAAACACTGCTGTAGATTGTATTACAGATTTCCAAAGCTCAGTCTTCTATTCATATCGTTTTTGTATCTATGGCAAATGCCTAAAATAATTATTATGATTGTACACTAGCTTCAATGTGTAACTTACTAAAAAGGAGTACAGAGAAGAGCAATGAAGGTGATTAGGCGACTGGAGGCTAAAACATATAACGAACGGTTGCTGGAAGTGGGAATGTCTAGTTTAATGAAGAAAAGGACTAGGGGTGACGTGATAGCAGTGTTCCAATACTCGGGTTGCCACAAAGAAGAGGGAGTCAAGCTACTCTCCAAAGCGCCTTAAGGCAGGACAAGAAGCAATGGATGGAAACTAATGAAAGAGAGAAGCAACCTAGAACTAAGGAGAAATTTCTTGACAGTTAGAACAATTAATCAGTGGGATGGCCTGCCTCCAGAAGTTGTGGGTGTTCCAATACTGGAAGTTTTAAAGAAGAGATTGGACAATCATCTGTCTGAAATGGCATAGGGTTTCCTGCCTGAGCAGGGGATTGGACTAGAAGACCTCCAAAGTCCCTTCCAACTCTGTAATTCTGTTATTTTATAAGCAAATAAAACCTCCCAAAAAGTATGCTTTGTGAAGGATTTTCTGATACACAAGAAGGAGCAACAGCACTCGTGCCTTTTGTTTCTGATTTTAGCCTCCCATTGCTATATCTGCACAAAGGCAATTTGGAAGTAAGATCTTACTAATGTGTAAGGCGTTCTTGGCTGTGCTACCTCAGGAGGATGAGAATTGTAGGACTCAGTTTGAGAAGAACTCAGTAATATGATTGGTTTGAATGACAGGACTATAAATGACAAAGTAAAGGTCATTTGTTAACTGCCAATCATCTTTCTACTGAGATATCTATAACAACTTTCCAAATCATAGTTTCAAAACCATTGGAATAAGTGTTTATTAATACACAATTAATGTACAATTATTTGTTAATATATGACAATTATGTGCAAATATGCTCTGAACCTACTGTGCAGTATAAGTTTATCTACATATGAAAGATGTATTGAAATGGCTATTAATGGCATTATACCACTAGATGGGGCTATAGAGCAACAACAATACACACACATAAATTATATGCTGGGGCATGACAATACAGGTTCACAATATTAGATATACCACAGAAAAAGGAATTTCTCTTCTTTTGCACATTCAGCTTTCAGATTAATGGAATCTTTAAATTAAGATAGTAATGTCCCCACAGCTTCAAATGTTGCAAAATTTTATCAGCAGGATTAATCAGAAATTTCAAAATCCTAATAATTGAAGGTTATAAGAACAGCATTGGTGTTCCATGTTGCTGGAGCCTTATCCTCCATGCACTACTATAGTCTACAATGAGGTACAATATTTGTCTTTTCAAAGGGTCCTTATGGCTGGCATAGAGATACAGCTTATGTATAGACTGATCCTGGGACAAGAAGTTTTTAAGTTACTGTTGATGAATGAAACAGTGATATACAAGTGTCTATGGCAATTTTCACCAGTATTTTTCCATGCCACAAACAAAGCCATCTTCTAGTCTTAATTTCTTTTATTTTTTCTTAGTCCTTTTATAAATTATCAGTGCAAGCCTATATGTGGTATGTTCAAAAGCAAACCAGTTGATTCAATGTATGCATTTACGAAAGCAAATGTGGAATCAATTACTCCAAGCCATTGATAAAATGGAACTGTTTTTCTGTATAGCTATATAATTTACTGTTGTAATACTATTGTGTGGGTTTCTGAAACAAGTAGCGTTAGATGAAACTGATTCTTCTGAGAACCAAAACAAAGTACCTGGTGTGGAACAGTGATAGGCATCTGCAGGAACATTGTTAAATGTAACCAAAGAAATGCACATGTGCACAGAGCCCAACACTTTGGTAACTGGTAACCAAAACAAACAAACAAGTAACCGTCCCCTCCCCAAACCGTAATTAAGATTTCTTGACTGGAGTGTGTACACTTTGGAAGTCAGCCCTTTATGCTTCATTCTCAAAATATGTTTCAAGAACTATTACTATTTTCCTTGATTTCCAATTGTGCAAGGCCAGTCTTGAAAAAAACCTTTGATTTGTTCCTGCCTTCACTGACTATATGTGTGTATATGTGTATGTGTATAAGTGCAAGGACACGTGTAATAAATTAGTACAGTACCTTAATTTCTATGACAAGCTTCATTTTGGCATTGTCTAGCTTTCTCTTTAGCTGGTCAATTTCCTGCTCCAGGGTTGTAATCTGGATTATTACATTATTCTGTCAAACAACCCCCCCAAAATTGATTTAGAATATAACTTCATATATAAACAATACACTCATTCTGTGATATAATTGTTAGTAATATAAGTTAAACTGATGCCTAGACACTCTCCATGAGTTTCTTTTTAAAATATATTTTAAGTCTTTTAACACTCTAAATATCTCTATATCAGAGGCCCCCAATCTTTTGGGCACCAGTTCTGTGGAGAGAGGTTTTTCCATGGAGTGGAGGGGACATGGTTTCGTGTGCTACCTGCATCCCCCGGATGGGGGCTTCTTTTGTTTGCGTGGATCAGTTTCTGGCATGCTGCGGACCGGTGCTGGTTCACGGACCAGGGGTTGGAGACCCCTGCTGAATGTCATCCTTCCTCAGAAGAATATAGTTACTATCTCCATATACTGTATCTCACATAAGATGATGGATTGACCATAGAGTAGAGCAATGCTTCCACTCATCGGCTGCAATAAATTAGGTCAGTATTTAAATGTTTGTTTTGCTATGGGCAGTCTAGATTTAGCCAGTTAAAAATGGATTTGATTGTCTCTTGTGAAATTGTCATTATAAAAAAAATGAGAGATTTTCTTTAAAAAGAGAAAATGTAATCTTGCAAAAATGAGAGTGGCCCACAAATAATCTTGCCGCCACATTCTTGATCAGGTGTAGCTTCTAGGTTGCCTGAGACTGCCCCATGTAGAGTACATTATAACAATCCAACTAGATGGTGATTACTAACCCTGGTGTCTTGGTCCAGATATGGATATAAAAGATGCTCCAGCCAAAGCTGGGCAAATCCTGCCCACAGCCTCTACTTTCTGTTTAAGGAGTAGCTGTAGTCCAGGCAGATCTCAAGTTGCACAACAACTTCTTTGCAGGCAGCACAACCTCAACTAGGATAATCCCCAAGATCAACGTTTCTAGAAATTTATTTACGTTTAGCAATTTACCGGTATTTAATCTGAATTTAGTTTGCGCCATACAGATAATATCTGGACATCAATTTAAGCTTTCAACAGCACCCCTGGCTTGACCTGGGGTGGCAATGTACAGTATCATCAGCATCCTGATGACAACTCACTACAAACCAATAAATGATCCCCCCTCCCCAACTTCATATACCCATTTTCCTGAAAATAAGACCGGGTCTTTTTTTTTTTCCTCCAAAAGAGGCACAAGGTCTTATTTTCAGGGGATGTCTTACTCACCTTCGTCAATGACAGGCCCGCCCAGCAAGTCCACTTCTTCTGTGGCCAAAGGAGCAGCTTCATTCTGCAGTGGCATTCCAGCCTGCATTTTGCAGTCAGGCCTTTCCGGAAGGCCTCTGCAGCCGAGTACTGAGCTATGATTTAATCCATAGCTCGGTCCTCGGCTGCAGAGGTTTTGCAGAACTGAGCTATGGATTGAATCCATAGCTCAGTTCTTGGCTGCAGAGGCCTTCCGGAAAGGCCTGTGACTGAGAAATGCAGGCCTGGCTGAGAAAACTCCGCAGAAGAAGTGGGCCAGCGAGGAGAGGGCTGGCTGCAAGGCAAGTGGGTGCGGGGTGTGGGGGGCAGCTCCAACCCCCCACCCCTGCCCTAGCTTGATTTTTAGGTGTGTGCCTCACCCCAAAACTAGGGGTTATTTTTGGGGTAGGGTTTAAAGTAGGCCCACCCCCAAATATCAATGTAGGGCTTATTTTGGGGGTAGGCCTTCCTTTCAGGGAAACATGGTAGTTATTAAATAGCACGGGGGAAAGCAGCCAATTCTGAGGTACCGCAGACTCAACCAAAGTCTTGAATGCTGCCCCCATGGAATCATTGCAAAATGGTGCTTCCTACTCCCACCCCTCACAGGCAGTCCAGTAAAAGGCCACAATCAATGGTATTGAAGGCCATAGAGAAGGTCAACTGACTCAGGAGAGATACTTGCTTCATTGTCAGTTTCTGACAAGGTCATCCATTGGTGTGCCATGACTGAGTCTGAATCTTAACTGGCAGGAGTCTAGATAATGTCTTTCCTGTAAGAATCTCTGAAACTGAGCCATCATATCTTTCTTAACAACTTTTCAAAAGCAAAGTTAATTTTAACTGTTTTTTAGTTATTATCGTACAGTGATTTATTGTTGTTCTCTTATTTATTTGCCACATTCTCATGGTAGTGTTTCCTTTAAAAGTTATATTAACTCTGGTAAGTGTGTGCTTTAGATTTCAGTGACTGTTGTGTCTGTGACCTTAATATTTATTGAAGATATTAATCTTTGTTTTGGCCAAAGTTACACAAGCTTTGGCCAATTTCCTTGGATGCAAGATATAACACATGCCTTTGGCAAGAACAACTGATGCCCTTTTTTCTTCTTTTTGTTCCTCTCCACGTTTGTTTCCTTTGTCGTCATTATTCTTTTCTCTTGTTTTTGTCTTGTTCTTTGTTTTTAAATGTTTTTAACAAATGCAAACTGCCCAGAGTTGTTGGGAGACAATGGCACATAAAATTAATAAATGCACTATATGAACTATAAATGAACTAATGAACTATGACGTGCTAAAAATGATCCTAGTTCAAAATGATCCAGTGAACTTTGAGATGACTCTGCTGCTATTAGTACTTGAAGTCTTCTTAAACAATCCTCCTTTTTCCTAGTTATCACAGTCTAGAAACATATATATTAGATACAAGGAGACCACTGTATATTTGACCTACTTAAGTTAAAGCTACAAAAGAGAAACAACATAGATGTTTAAAACATAGCAATTACATTTAAAAAAATTAAATTTACAACATCGTTTTGTGAAATACTGGACACAAACTAATAAAAAAAAATCAGAAAATTCCTCTCACATAGTGAGAGTTTCACTGCAATCTATGCTTCTTTTTCTGTTGTGCTCAAAACAAAACTGAATGGAATTGACATATTTTATCCCTCACTCAGAGAACTTTGCTTCTTTACTAAAGAAACAGTAAAAGAATTACTGTTAATCTTAACTAAAACTTTAGAAAGTTCTACAGTTTAGTGAAGATATTGAATCCATCTGTAGGACTGAATAGACACCACAAAGTAGGTTTTCAGTATCCTCCTTAGAGAAATACAGTATAAGGTATACAGCTGGATATATGAAATTGTGACTTAGCTGGAAAAAAACCTTAGCAATAGGAGAAAGTTTACTAGGTGGGAAAAAATGATAGAACATTTCTTAAACTAATTAACCAAATTCTCTTGATATTAAGAGATCATGATTCATATGAGAAGTATTTAATTAATTTTAAACTTTATTCTCATGAATTTTATTGTTGAACTAGGAAGAAAGAGATCATAGGTATATCATGTTATAACGAGAATGAGGATTTAAATCATTTTAGCAACTTGTAACACTAATTCAACTCAAGGGAAAAGAATCTGCAAAATATTCTTCGTTCTTGCCAATGGAACTTTCTTTTTATTAATTAGGATCGTGATATATTTATAATAATTTATGTTAAATCTTAATTAGACTATAAATATAGTCATTTTATGAGCTGAGTTTAATTTTTGCACAAATTTTGCTTTAGGCATTTTTCAAATATATTAGCAATCTGTTTAAAACTGTATCATCATTAAGATTCCAAGATTTGCTGTACTGATGGATAAAGCTTAGTTTTTATGGGCAAGGAAAATTTAAAAAAAATTAATTACCTTTGAATTGGTGGTTTGTGTTAAATTATTTCTTTTTTTCTTGATATCTCTAGCTTCTAGCTGCCTCAATAATTTTTGGTGGTGTAGTTTTATATTTTCCTGCAATTTATTTAAAGCTTCCTCTGAGAAAACTGTGACTTTCTTCATTTCAAAATATTTTTTTTTCCAGGAATCACGGACTGCAAGATTAAAAAAAGGATTCTATGCAGTTCAATAGCAGCTCAATAATTTATTCTAAATGAATGTACAGAGATCACAGTTAAAGAATCAGGGAAGTATATATTTGATTCAATAATGAAAAGTAAAAAAAAATATATTTTATAAATTCAGACTTGATGTTGGACAGCATTAGTTTTTATAGTTGTTGGTCAATGAAAAAAATTGGATGTATTAACCTAGAACATACCATGGCATCTCCTGAGCTTGTGCTGTTCAATCAAGTTTTTCACTTTTTTAACCAGTTCCTCTCTAGTGTTTTCCAGATGTCTTCTTTCTATCTTAATATGTTTCAGCTGCTTATGTAATTCATGGCCTGAGGAAGAAGAAATCCCATACTATCATACATGCAAAAGCTAATAATGAGAACAATTCTGAATAAAATTAAAGTAAAAATGTGTCATTCTTCTATTGGTCAACACAGGGTTGATCCACTACAATAAAATAAAATTAAGTCGACCAAAGAATGATGTAAAGGTTGGTGTGGGGTTGAAAAGATAAATATCTGTGTATTTTCATTTGATGCAATTGTCTGGTATGTGGAATCTACATAAACAGATTACAGTACTCAGCAGATAATATGAAGGAACAATGATAGTGTCCAAACCCCTGTATTCTATCAAGAATTTTTTCCCATACTTTGAATCATGAATTAAAGATGAAAAAAATCTATATACTGACTTCTGCAAGAACAAATGTGGCAGAACACTGGAAAAGGTAAGCTTTGTGATGCTATTAGGTTAGATTAAAATTGGAGAATACTATATGTTGCAATATACATTGCAACAAAACTGATGATATCTATCCATAATAGAAGTTTAGTCAAACTCAAATAGGTATGGTTTCTTTACGTACAACATATTACACAGCAAGGCAAATTTAGACCTTTGAATTATAGTTTGTAGAACTTAAACAGAAGCTAGCAACAATCTTAAGTGTTCAGTGTAAAATATAGCTGTCTGAACTGTGGTCAGCATTTGGAGACACAAGGGGAAGAATAGGGGAGAATATGTTACTAGTTACTCCTTTTATAATGTTTATATATATAACTATTCTTCAGTTTTCTCCTATTTTGTGTCTTTCCCTTTTAATTTTTAACAATAAAAATGTTTAAAAACTAAAAACTTATGAAAAATCCATACACACACATACTAAATATATATACTTCTGTAGCTAAACTGTAAGCAAAGTAATAAAGACCTGAAAAAGCACTTTTAAAAGATGCCTAAATTGATAATAATACTCTTAAAATGTCTCTTGCACAATCTCTCTGAAGAACATATTTTTATTTTTGAAAAAAAGTAATAGAAACTATGTAAGAGTCATTCCTAGAAACCTGTGCTAATCTTATATACATAATGAGCTGGATAGCTCATTATTCAAAATGCTATCCATTCACAATTACTGTTGGGCTTGGAGGAAAAAGAGGAGACAATAATCTTAGGGAGAAAAACTAACAATCCAGTTAATGGTGGTTGTTGTCAGTAGACACAGAATGAGGCCCAGTTGGTGGGGTAAAGGAAGCGAGAATAAAGAAAAAAAACCCTCAGCAGATGGAGTACGTACAAAGTTTTCAATCCTGAATAGAAGTACTCCAAGTAACATGCTTTTTAGGGCAATTGTATGTGAGTTGCAAAAGTCCAGAGTACCACAAGAGGGCAGCAAACTCTTTGTGATATAGTTATCAGAATTTTTATCTTCCAATATCCTGTGCATGGTAGGCATGGAGATAGTGGCTAGACCAGTGATGGCGAACCTTTTAGAGACTGAGTGCCCAAACTGCAACTCAAAACCCACTTAAGCATCGTCGAGTGCCTGGTGGGCGTGGGCCATTGTGTGGGCATGGGCCATTGTGTGGGCGTGGCTGCGGTGGTAATGGCAGACTGTGTGGGACTAAAAAGTTCAATCAATCAATTCCAACTTTGCAAGATCTTTTTTTTCCCCGCGAGAAGTTGAAATTGACTGATTGAACCTTTTTTTTTTTTTTTGCACACGGCGGCGGAGGCCTAAAGCGAAAAGGTTTTATAAAACCCAGCTGAAGGCCTAGGACTGGGGCGACGGCGCGCGTGCCCACAGAGAGGGCTCTGAGTGCCACCTCTGGCACCCGTGCCATTGGTTCGACACCACTGGGCTAGACAAATTCTGTAGCTGAATAAAAATACCCATTTAGCCTTTTCCAGAAATCATTTATACAAAAAGAAGGTATGAATTACGCTATCTTAAGAAAACTGCTGATAATCACAAATGACCCTTTAGAGGCTTTTTGATTATGTTTAGGAGATATATGAAAACTCGCCATTGCTTTCTTTGCCTTCAAGCAAACCTGATCTCCTTCTTAAAAGGCAAGAGGGCAAAATCCCTATGATCCCTGCTGCTGAAACCTTTTGTCACACCCTTAACCTCATGAGAGGTCTTGGACAGATTTCCTCACCTTCTGTTGGAAAACCTTTGTGAGGAAGTTGAGCTCTATTTACTGAGACAGCCAGAAGAGGTGGAGTAGGAGGGGAAAGATAGTGACTAGGATATGCAGAGTCATTTAGGTTATTCCCATCAGCCTAGGATCAAATAAAAACGTGTCAGTATTCATTGTTATTTTTAGGAGATAAGAACTCTGGGGTTGAAAAATTATACATGTAAAGCTGAAAACTCAAAAAAAAAAGAAGAAAAGAAAAGAAAAAAAGAAACAAGAGGGAACCTTTCTGACAATCCTAACAGAACATGAGTCAAACCATAGGAGGCATTAGAAAATGACTTTGCCTGGGGTGTCAAAATGTCTAGTGTGTAAGTGTGTCTTGAGTTACAGCAAACTTTTACATTTTAAACATCTCTTAAACGTTAAGAGTGCCTAATTTATTTTAGATTTCGAATGTAGTCCAAAGCGTTTTAGTTCTAAGCCAACAGGCATAGGCTTATTCTGTCCCTTATCTGATACTTTATTATATCTATATTATATACATGTATTATATTATATACACACAGAGAGGCAGACAATACTCACTGCTTGTAATGTATGTCCTACTTTAAAAACATTGCTTTCAAATTAGTTCAGAAACTGGCTAGATATGAAATGATTAATCCCAAGAGTTATATGTAATTGCAGCAAATCTTAATGAATCTTAATAGACAAAATTCATTCAACCCAAGTGACAGAAATGTGTTAACAAACCATTTTAACCAACTCAGTTGTGGTGCTAGACTCCTCTGGGAACATACCTGATTGTTCTGCACATTACCAGGGTCAGCAGCAGTCTTGGTAATTCCAGCATGTTGTTGGCTAAAGATGAGATCAAAGGAACAGCTACATTAGAAAGAAATCTCTGATTAAACCTGTTGGGGTTGCAAGTTGTTTTGATTGAGTTATTAATCTGAAAAATAAGATACTGAAATCAGACTGGAAGAGCCTCTTGGTGACAAACTGGATTAAGAGCAAGTATTCCAAGGCTGCATTAACCTCATACACAGGAAATTAAGCTAGATGAACTAGTTCTCATGCTTAATTATGTTTATCTGAAAGCTAATTAAAGAGCTAGCTTTTTCCATTATTCAATATGTTAGAAGTTCTTAATGTGACTTCAATGACTGACACTGAATACTGTCAGAAGAAATAGCATATATATTTCCTTACCTCCTCTTCTTGGGTGAGTATGTCATGTCTCGGTCTTCCAAGGATTTGGGGATTCCAGAATCAGCAGTAGTAGTACACTTTCCATTTTCAACTCCTGTTAAATTCCCTCCATTTTCCATATTTGTGTCCAACATAAGAGAAACCTCTTCTGCAACAAAGGTCAAAGTATTACCTGTCTCTACATGAATGTGTATGCATATGTACAAATATATGTCAACTGCCAATAGCCTTAATACAGAGCAAAATTGGCTACTTTTTGGTAGTCACCAAAACAAAATTACTTCCAATATTTTGAATAAATGAGAGTTCCCCAAGTTCCACATATTTTCTGAATTTGGAAGCTTTTGCAGATATAGTTCTCATCAGATACATGCTATCCACATCTGGATTTGAAAGATCACAAATATACTGTGGTGTTATATGCTCCCTTCCTAATTATATTAATTGTCTTATAGTTCTCTGTTACTCTAGACTAGAGACTAGCCTTAGTTTGTTATAACTTAAACCAGACAGTTTTGGTTAGATCTAAACCCCAAACTACTGATACCATTCCACTTCAAAATACAATCTCAACTCACAGACTGAAAATTAAATGTAATCATATCTTTGCTCTGTTTTGATACCACTGCAAGCAATTAAACTGGCATTTAAAATTAGAGAGCAAAGTTGGAAAAGGAAGGAAGGAAGGAAGGAAGGAAGGAAGGAAGGAAGGAAGGAAGGAAGGAAGGAAGGAAGGAAAGCATGCACTTGTGGCTATTTCCAGTCCTCCAAGCAGCATTGCTTTTGATAAAATGTGGTATTTAACAGGAATTTTACAAGAGAACTAGAGTAACTTGTTCAAGACAAAATTCTGAGATAAAGAAGTGTTAAAAACAAATAGTTAAAGCATGTACCGGTAATATGTTTTAATAAAAAGAGCCCAGCCCTGCAGCACAGAAGGAGGCAACAACCAGGAATTGGGATGCTGGCTGAATCTAAGCTATCAATTTACTATTTCCTGGATTGCATTTTCCTCATTTTTTTATACCACTGTCATCTACAGAATCTATTTTTTCAATTACATCAAGAGCAGAAATTGTCACTTCAATTTTTTAACTTGGTCTCATTTTAAGGTCACCTAAGTATATTTCCAGTAAAGCTATCCTCGTATAAAACCTAGATCCATTCATTCAAAGAATTTATTTCGCATCAACAAGTAATGAAATGTTTTTCCACTTGAAATACCAGTATTTTCCTCCTTTTCATTGTTCTGATCTATCTTTGGAGATGTGACTGTCTTTCTGTATTTTTCATCCTTTCCTGGAATATTATGGCTTTCTGGGGTTGGGCTGAAAGTCTTTTTCTGATACATTTTCACTGGTGCTGATTTCTTTGCAGGGTGCTGTTTTGAGGATGGAACAGATTCTGTTTTGTTGATGTTACAACTGATTTTGCCTTAAAATGACACAATGATATATTAATAAACATAAATTGACATAGACAGTGTTGTAAACTTCAGAGTGCTGTACAATATAAGACCAGATCATTTTGATTGTATTACATGAAACCACTTTTTACTTTCTAATATAGAAAGTATATACACATTTATATTTATTTATAATTTAAAGACATGATATTAATAAAATATAAGACAAATCCCTTAAATATCCTATTTTCTAGAATATATGAGAAAGATAAAACAATCAGATCAGATTAACAAACAAATATGTTTACAAATATATGTATATTTATTTATCTTCTGTCATGTTCTCATCATACACTTAATAGACAGACAAAAAAGACTAAAATGCAAGTGAATCCAAGAAGCTTATGTAATATGGCAGAGATGTCGCACACAGCCAGAAATTATTATAAATTATATAAACATAAGGCAATCCAAAAGTTCCATTGCTCAATGATTGACATGTTGCTAGAAAATCCTGAGATATCCAAGTTTCCAGGAGCTCATCTTAATCAATTATCTCTGTGCTATAAATGCAATACAGAAGTGGAATTTTGGGAATTGAAACCAAAGAAAGCAAAACAGGAAATATTGCTGTAGATTTAATAGCAAAACTAGATATATCTTGTTTGAAAAATTACGATGACTCTTCCTCCCATTAGTGCAAAACAACATTATCTTATTTATAATTTGACTTTTATAGGATTCTATTTAAATTCCAAAGTCTCACCTTTCCTTTGTTGTGAACTACTTTTTCCTTGAATACTTTCATTCTTTTGTTGCTCAGAGCTTTGCTTTTTATGTAGAACTGGAATAGTTTCCTTTTCATTCCACTCACCAAAATCAGCTTTTTCCTGAGTCTGACTGAGATTGTTTTTGAAGGAGCTATTCAACATTGTTGAGTTTTGATAAATATCAGGATTGGGAGAAATTAAACTATGTGGTCTTTCATATGATGCAGATGTAAGCACATATTCTGGATTATTATGGTGTTTCTCTGGAGTGGATGACAAAGATGAATAAATACTCTCTATTCCTGGTAACAAATAAAGTTCTGGATGAAATGCCTGCAATATGGAACATGGTAGAAAATAAACTAAGAACCAAAAAATTTAGCTTTGTTCTTAAAATTGAAATAATTATAATATACTGTACATACATTCGGAGGAGCAAATGATTTCAGCTTCAGTTCCATCTCTTGTTTTGTTTTCACCTTGGAACATTACAACAGAGGCAATATTATCAAAATGCTTCCAATTGTCCCATCACCGTTATTTATAGAAATTGGGCAAAGTTCCAATTTCACATGAATAAAAATACAATTTTGCCTCATTCTCCTGAAGTTCTGTAAAACTCCAAAAATTTACCAGGAACAAGGGGTGGAAGACCCTTTGCAGTAGACATCTTTTCTTCTCCAGTAAATTACATCCCAATCATAAAACATTACTTTGTTTTAAATGTCATATTCAAGAGCTAGCACAAAATCATAGATCATTGTAAAATATACTTGTATAAGATTTTCTTTGTTTAGAAAGACTTTTTAGCATTATTCCATTATTTTATTGATTTTTAATTTTAGTTTTCACATTTTATTTTTCTCAATGTGATTGTTTAATGCACTGTTTTATGTAACCTTCATTCCTTTTTTTAAAAAAAATAAAAAGTATTTCATCAAGCTTGTTAAAAGAAAAAAAAATACCTTGGAAAACTTTAAAGCCCAGTATAAGTCGCATTCCACAAATGTTTGTTTATACTGATTTAATTGCAGAGTTGCTTTTCAAATCTTATGCAGCACTTTCAACATTCTCAAAGGGATGCTTATATTTATAAAAGCCTGATTTGAAATGTATAAAAATAAATGAAACCTGCAGAGGAACTCTAAGGCATGTGTTTTCAGCAAATTATAATTTGCAAATTGGGAGCATATCTTTGGAACCTACAAAATGTCTGCTCCCCACTCTTTGCCCTCCTCTTGTAAGAGTTTTTCCTTTATAGGGATTTTGCTATAGGATGCTTAAATAATCTTTCAGCCTCTCTCATGGTACTTATGGAAGTTTTTACTATTCATAGAAAAGCAGCATTTTAAATGAGAACAAACCTTTAGGTCATTTAGGTTTTTCATTTCCTCTGCAGACTAGTTAGAACATCTTAATTGATGAAATGCTCTTGCAGTTATATTATGCAACTTTATAGAAGTTTAGTATGTAAGTTTTACATATTATGTACATAGATATCATATTATTAGTTTTGTTCTCAAGTGAGATTCTTGATTATATTGTATATGTTAGCAATCCTATAGGACAATCAGCAAGAAACATGAAATACTTACCACCACAAGTTTCTCTCCAATACATTTTAGAAAGACATACTTATCTACAACTGCTTCTTCACCTAAGTACTCTCCAAGGTTTTCTCTTAATATTTTCAATGTCATATGAGGTGACACCCTAGAACATCAGATGTTATTGCTGCATTTAATATGGAGTATAAGATAATGCTCATATTGTACAGCATTTAGTTTTAGAGAGGTGGGAATATAAAGGGAATAAAACATACATAGAAGACACCCGAATGTTAGAATTGAGATATTAACCCCTATAAGGGAACTGGAACTTTTAGCAGCATTCAAGATTGCAGTGCAATTTTATTAAGTCTTATTCACTTTTATATAGAAATAATGAAAAGAAAATCTAAAATATAAAGTAGTGTAGGTACAACACTCTTTGGATGTGTACCTGTTTGCTTACAGCTATCACTGACCCTCTTACGATTAAATTGACACAGTAAGGTCTCTGTGGTTTGATATGATAAGATAGAAAGCCAGTTTGGTATAGTGGTTAAAGTGCTGACTTAGAAACCAAGAAACCGTGAGTTCTAGGCAGCCTTGGGCACAAAGCTGGCTGAGTACAGTAACTTTGGGCCATTTTCTCTCTATCACCCCAACTCACTTCACAAGGTTGTTATGGGGAAAATAGAGGCAAAGGTATTAGGTCTGCTTGTTGCCTTGAGCTATATATAAAAAAGGCAGGATAAAAAGTATTAATAATAAAAAGCTTTACATTTCATGAAGCTTTACATTTCATGAATCATGTTTATTGCCATAACCTGAATCAAAATTAAAAACTAAATTTTGTTTTCTTATAAATTCAGTTAAAAGCTTAAATGTTTCTATTTACAAAACAAGTATCAAAAAAATCCTTTTATACATGATAATCTCATCAAATGTCTACCTATGGATTAATTATTGATCCTTACATTATTTTTCATAGACCTCTATGACTACTGTGGATTTCCTAATGTAGAATTTTCTAAAAATTGATTATAACAAAAGGAAATGGCAGAAGTATGAAATACAACTCTTTATTCCCAATGATTCATTCAGGTTATATGGGAGAGCAATCGTACCATTCAGGAAGGGAGCTCAAGTGGGGAATTAATTTGGACTTTAGGTAAACTCAAGAGGGCAAGGTCTGACCCCCTCTGAATGGCCTTGAGTCCTCCTCCTGGCTGGAGGAGAATTATGAATAATTGAGATGATGCTGTTAATTTCACTTTTAAATAGCATCAGTACTAAAATTTCTGGTATTCTCAGTAATTTTGTAAACAATTACATCAATATTTCCTTTTTATATCCTATGCACTATATTATAATTAATGATGCAGGAATGAATCACATAAGAATGATATTCAGTGGTTCTGATCTACAAATCAATAACTGCTAAAAATGATTAGAATCTTGGAATAATAAATACATGTGTGCAAATTCCGAACGTACAACTATTAATTTAATTGAGGATAGCCGCAAGTTGGGGGTTAATTTTAGCTCTTGTCTTCAGTAGGATTGGCTGCATTTCCATACTGAGAGGTGGACACAAGTCAGTATAAAGTGGTACAAATGTTCTTAGTTGCCGTGTACATAAAGCATGCAAAATTTTCTCATACTCTTGTATAATCAGAAAACTGTTAGAAACTGGTGTCCTTGGTAAGCAACTTATGCTCCTTTTTCTTTGTGGAAATGTTTAAACTGTGTCAATGCAAACCAGTTTTATAAATGGTATATTATAGAAATGGTCATATTGTTCAAGTGAAATATAATATTTATTCAATATCAGAACATTCCACCACTATGAAAATATTTGTATCCCTCCAAAAATATTGATTTGATGTGCTAATTTCTCTGCATGGGAATTATCAAAGCATAAATTACAAAGAAAAGAGCAATAATTCAAAAATAATGCCATGAAAATAAAGTCTCCCTAGTTACATAAAGCTATATTATAAATTACAACATCCTTCCATTTTTTTACCATAAGCAATGACTAAAATGAACAAAGAGTTTGCTTGCCTTCCATATTTTCCATTCCATTCAAAATTTATTTCTCTATGAAAGAAGATACAAGATGCATGAATGTTTCCCATATAGAATTGTTTTTATATGTTTCCCATATAAAAACAATTTGCATGAGAGTTTCAGCATGGAGATCAAAGTTTCCTTTTTGCCAGTTTCTTTGCTCATGATTTCAAATTATCATAAGCAGTTTTTGTTTTTTTCTAAAGTTAGAAGATTTATAGAAATTCCTTATCAATGTTTATTCTTTGAAGAGCTGTAACTTTTGGGTAGGTGTTTTAATCAACTGCTAAATAGTTACAAGAAATGCTAAATATTAAGGCAAGCCTATTTATTTTTTTGATTTTTATCCTGCCTTTTTTATACATAACTCAAAGCAGCAAGCATACCTAATACCTCTGCTTCTATTTTCCCCACAGTCTTGTGAAGTGGATTGGGCTGAGAGAGTAGTGACTCACTGAAAGTCACCCATTATTATTATTTTATTATATCTCACCTTATAAATCCAGCTGAAAAGAATTTGCTAATAACTTCTATAGAAACTGTATTCAACTTGAAATTCCATACTTCTTCAGGAACATAAAATACATGCAGCTCTAAAAGCTAAAAATATGTAAAAAGAAACTGTTTAGCATTCAGCATAGCCAATTTTAATAATGGAGATAATATCTGACAATATATGGTAATGATTTGTTCTTAAGCAAAATGATGCAAACTATGAAAATGGAATATCATGCCATAAATGGACATATAATTTTGGAACTTAATGTTTAAATATTTCTCTCAGCTCAAAGTTGCATGCAAAAATGACAAGTTGCATATAAAAAGTGAACCTTTTGTAAAACTTGTAAAAAGGGATTAATTGTATAAATTGTATACAAAGATATTGGGTGACAGCAAATAAAATATTCTGTCAGAGATAAATACTGATACAAGCTGACAATTGAAAATATGGGCCACCTGATATTGTTGTGGCCAATATGGAACTGGAATCACTTGCATTCATTTTGACTTTGATGGACGCAGTGGTGAGATTCAAATAATTTAATAACCGGTTCCCTGCAGGGGAGGAGGTGGGGGCACTTCCACAAGGCAGGTGGGGGAGGGGGGCAGCTGCCCTATGCTCCCTGCTTACCGTGCTGAAGGGCCCCCGCAGCCAGGCCTACCATGCCCCGACACCTGTCACGCCTCGCCTGTTCAGTAGTGACCTCTTCCACTTTCTCCTTCTTCCTCTTCCTTTGAACACCCCTTCGCTCCCATTGCTGCTTTTTCAGTCCCAGATCTCGGTTTGTCCGAAGCCTGCGTAGGGGGTCTTTGGAAACGAAGCTCTGCAGTGACTGGGTGGGGTGGGAACATTCCTTTCACTTTTGGACGGGCTCTGAAATGGGCTGGAAGGAGCGGCCTGAGGATGCCAATTTGGCTTTGCAGCAAGCAAGGTGATTGGAATGCACGCCAGTCTGGTGTCTCAAAACACCAGGGTTTTTTTCCCCCGCTGCCGGATTTTCGCCGCCATACTGTTTAAGTTTTTTTAAAGATTGCTTAATGGAGAATGCGGATCCCTCCCGCATTCCCCTGCCGTAGCTCATAAACCAACTAAAGCTCTCCAATGTATCTTAAGTAAACCAAAAGATCCAGTAGCCCAAGAAGAAAAAACAGGAGTCGTTTACAACAGTGTTTCTCAACCTTGACAATTTTAAGGCATGTGGACTTCAACTCCCAGAATTCCACAGCCAGCTTTGCTGGCTGTGGAATTCTGGGAGTTGAAGTCCACATGCCTTAAAATTGTCAAGGTTGAGAAACACTGGTTTACAACATACAGTGTAAGGACTGTAACAGCCATTATATAGGACAGACAGGGAGAACATCAGCATAGCACATCTATAAATATCAAGTAACACTCAGAAGGCACACTGAACAGTTCTTAATTTTTCAACACCTGGACAGATTCAGCTACAGTTTCAAGCCAAATCCAAAAGTGCTAGAGAATTCCTGGAAGCTTGGCACTGAGACAAATAAGCCATCAATAGACACATAAGATGAACTACATTTATATGCCATTCAATAGATACAACAAAAAGCAAAGGAAAGCAAAGGAAAGAAAAAAGACCAAAACACATGCCCTCCAGGGACCACACCCAGATAAGCAGGGACCACTGGACAAACAAGCAAACAAAAATAAAAACCCTTAATCAAGGAGCTACCAAGGAAAAAACCCACATTCCCACCAAAGCTGGTAGGGCAAGCTAGTATACCGGTATATAAACAGGGAGGAAACCTTCCATTCACTAGCACTGATGTTGTCACCTTATTGCATAATGAAATGTCTGCAATAACTAGGCTCAGAGACCACTAGAGGTATGTCTGTGGTTTTTTTTTTTAATCCCTCCTCGAGCTCTATCAAGTTGGATCATTCCTAGCCGTTGTCCCCATATTCCATTTTGGGACAAAGTCCTGTGATTTTGCTGATATTCTAGGTCAGTGGTGGCGAACCTATGGCATGCGTACCAGAGGCGGCACTCAGAGCCCTCTGTGGGCACGCGCGCTATGCCCCAGAGATGGCAACCATCCCTCTTCAAGCAGCCGCCCGTTAACTCGCCGAGGTCCCACGTGGCCGGATGCATCCCAGCACGGCTGGTTTCCCTCCCCCCCGTCCCGTCCCTCCTGGCCTCGCTTGCTCTCCTTTTCCAGGGCATGACCCACTGCATCGCCTCCTCAGCTGTCGGCCGGTTGTCGAGCTCAGAGGCGGCTTCTCTGAACTGCTGGCAGCGGGCTGCGGAGCCCCAGAGTGCGCCGGTTGAGGGGCCGGCAGGCTGTGGCTGCTGACAGACACCATCTGCCCCCTTGCGCTCGCTGGCCTCTGTGTGCGGGGGCCGATGGTGTCAGGCAGCAGCCGCCCTGGCCCCTGCATCGCCTTGCCCTGCAACAATACCACCCCCGCCCTGCCTCGCCTCTCCTCACGTCGGAGGACGAGCCTTCTGCCCACTGTCCCACCCACCAGAGACCCCCTGGATCTCCCCCAACCTTGTCCAGCCCCCACAGGAGTCCCTGCCCATGAGGAACATTGCGGTGACCATGCCCACCTTGGCCATACCCACCCATTCTGCCATGACCACCACAGCCATGCCCACCCAGTGGGCCACGCCCACCTGGCACCCAGCAATAAATAAATAGGTTTTGGGTTGCAGTTTGGGCACTTGGTCTCTAAAAGGTTCGCCATCACCGTTCTAGGTCCACTTTAATATTTCTGGATTATGCCAATTGTGTATCTAAATTCAATCTGTTTTGGATTTGGCTGGAGGACAGAGACAGCTTTTGTCTCATGCCAGAAACGTGACAAGGAGAAAGCATCCCAGCTAGTTCTGATTGATTTCTTTTCAACTTTCTTAATGGTATGAAGTTCCACAGGTGTAGAGAATAAAAAAACTATTAATAATTGACAATTACGGTAGTTTATTTTATCCTTCAGGTTTCGCAGGTACAAACTGTGCAAGGCTTTCAACTTCAGAACCACTATCTTTCATGTAGATTCTTACCAGCAATCAAAATGCTGACTTAAAAGCAATGCTTATATACTCCTGAAGCTGTAAAAGCAATTAATAATAACTGCTACATTTTGGTCTAGCTGAAATTTCAGAATTGTCTCTATGGCAAACATATGTACATCACACAGTAGACCAAATGAGACTGAACTGCATCCCATTCCTAATGAAGTGATACCACTGTCATCCGATCAGATGTGATTATATCCCTGTAAAGGAGGTGCAGATCTTCCTGAGATAAATCATTCCTAAATATGCTTTTTGCTGTTTAAGCAAATTATCATCACTGAACTATTTTGGTATCATTCAGAAGATGACACAGGGAAAGAGATAGAAACACCACTCTTCCATTCATTCAATCCTTTTAAAAATACCGTATGTATTTTCCTTAGACTTGAAACTGGTATCACTAGAAATGTTATTGCCTGTATTTCGGTCCATTATCAAGGATAGGAAATCTGTGGTCAAGTTGTTGATGAACACCAACTTTAAAAATCCATTCACTGATCCTGCTAGCAGAGTACTGCAAATTGTAGATCAATCATATTAGAACAATCATATAATCCCTATTCCTTATCTAGGTGTTATTTTCATTGCATAAATTCTTTACTTAAATTAGGAAAACATAGATTTGACATTGCAGAGAAGCTATTCTTTTTAGTATGCATATTTGTACTATACTTACTGATAGTAGTGCTGGTTCAGATCCAGCAATTTAGGGCAACTGCTCACAGTGCGGTACTAGAGAACCTGACACTTATGACATTCTGTTTCTAATATATTTTTGTCTCTATTAGTCAAAGAGCAATGGAATCATTCCTGCATGTAGCTATTAGCAGGTGCAGCCATATTAATTGAATTATTTCTGACTGCAGGACCATGACCCTGTGCTTAAAAGTTAAAATGGTGCCAAATAAAAGAACAGCTATGAAACCAATTGTTCTTGCAATCTGGAGGGAAGAGAATTATGGTAATCACCTGATTAAAAACTGTAAAATCTTGATCACTGCCTATATCTGTAATTAGCATAACTAAATACTAATAATAATGTTTTCAAATATTAATTATTATAGTTTACATTTAACCTATATGTAATTCCATTTTTGAAAGATCTAACAAGTTTCTTTATATATTTCTATTCTTATCAACCAACAACAGAAAATATTGCAGTATAGCATACATAAAATTTATCAATGGTTATTACAATCCATTATTTCTTACCTCTGAAGTGCGTGGTCTGTTTTGATTGGACAGCATATTCCTTGATGTCATTTCTGATTTATGCGAAAGTCTGGAATTGTTTTTTAAATCACATATTGAATTCCAAGTATTATTTAACATATCAAGATAACTCCTATAGGTATTTAAGTTGCAATATTCCATATTTTAGAATTGTTTCCATATCCTGCAAATTTGGATATAAAACAGGGATAGCTTCAGGGCAGAAACTTTTGTTTCTTGTTTACTGAAAGGAGCCAAGCATTTGCTAATACAGGAGCTGAACCACCTTTGAGGTGACCACTCCCTCTGTGTAAGTAAAATCACCTTAGTAACACAATGAAGTACCTAGCCAGGACTGTGCACCTGCGATTTGCTGCAGTAATCAAAGTCTGCTTTACTTGTATTGCTTACATCAAGGTCCCTGTTTCAACAACTGTTCCATAATCTGGGCAGTGCAATTTAGGGAATGAAAAGCCTTGATCAGAACTCCATATAAATATTTACTCAGTACTATGAAGAATTAAGAGTTTTACTGCTTGTTTTCTGTTCTTTCTCTTCAATAACAGCAGTAATTATATCTGCTTTAATTCAATTGACTAAAATGGACCTTATAGCTTCCTTAAAATGTATACTTGACTAGACAGGAATGAATACCAACCAATCTTAAACACAATATTCTGGTTCCAGCAGGCTCGGCGTGTATTTGTTTATTTAATACCCAACCAAATTCCCACAGAATTTTTAACAGATTTCAGGAATACAATAACAATTAAAATATCATGGTCAGCACCCAAATGCATGCATACATATATTACTAAAAACATATGCAGTACACCAAAATCACGAACACTTTCTGGAAGGGCTCTCTTTTCAACTTATTTGAGGAAGCAGTTTGGGTAGGAACTAAACTAATTACTTTAAGAGAGGACATTCTAATCTAGAGAACTGGTGCTGTTACTGGGAAAATTACAGTGGCAACTCAAAGTCCACTCTCCCTCATCACAAAAATAGGAATCTACCAGCTGTTTACCCAGCAAGACTGAATTCATGAGGACAATTCTAGTGGGCAAATGCAGTCCTGAAAAATAACTTGGTGCTAAGCCCTGGGCCTTATAGGTTAAAACCAGCACTTTAAATTGGAAGCCTATGGGAGAAACTAGTGCAGGATGCAAAGTGAAGGTGTAATATATTTTATTGTAGAGTCACCAAACCAACCTTTCCTCTCTTACTACCAAGTAAAACCATTCATTGAAGGAGCAGAACCACTGCAAAAAAGTACCGCCAATTCTCAATTACCGTAATCCGTCAAGAAGTGTACCAAGGTCATTGATAATGAAGGACACTGAAAGATCTAAAAGAACTAAGAGAGGCATATTATCCCACCCAGGTCCCAACAATTATGTACTGGATAAACTATACTATCTGTCCCATGCCCCGATTGACATGGGTCCAGAAAATCTGCTTCATTGCAGTTGATTTGTCCGTATTGTCTCAAAAACCTTTGTTAGTAAAGAAGGTAAGAGACCAGGAAGTAGTTGTCTAACCTTTCTTGACCTAAAAAAATCCCTTTTAATGAGAGTGTACCAAAGCCTCTTTTAAAACTATCGGCAGTGGCTTCTCCCACAATAAGGTGCTAACAATTTCCCTGATATAGGAACTCTCCCCCTTCCAAATGCTTGAAAGAGCCAAGAGGGACAACCATTCTGCTTCCATGTAGCAGAGGACATCCTAGAGAGCACCCAATCTACTTTCTCAAATTACAAACCAAAAAGGAATACCAGATAACAGGGAAGACAATACCCTACTCACTGGTGCTGCATGCTTCAGGGACTACGCTATGAATGGTTTGATGTGGGTATAGAACTTGGTAGTAAAGGCAAATATTCAAACTCCAAATTGGTCACTATCAAGCATAATGTATATTACATGTGATATCAGAATTCTCAGTAAAAGTAGTTTAAGGAATACAAGTAGAAGAATGTCCCAGCTTGTAGCTTTTCATAGCCATCTGACTGGTAGATGAAGAGTCAAAATATTCAATTAGTTAATCTTCCTACGAACTTGATCCAAATGATATACAGGCTAGATTTGCTGTGCTAGCTGTAGATTAACTATAATCTTCTGATTAAACCTCAATTACCTGGGTTTGTACAATACACTTAAGCCACTAATTGTATTTGCCAGCAGCATGGCTACATTCATGCAATTCACAGCAAGCAAAAGCCAACTCCATTATGACTTAGCATGTTTTTTTTGAATTATACTACAGATTTGTTTAAAGTCTGAATTGAATGAAGCTCACAATCTATTGACACAATATACGTCTTGTCACACACAAAAAAAATCTTCATTTTAAAATTTCAATTTAGGGTAGCAGAAATCATGTTTTATTAATACAATTGTTAAATATTTTTGTTATTGCCATTTTTGTCAGTTAAATAATTGTTGAGTCATTTGTTTTCTATCAGTAAATCCAGAGATGTATTACTTGGTACCAGGAGGAATAGTACAGTACCAGGAAGAACTTAATTCCAGCAAGTGAGGCTATTGTTAAAACTGCCATTTAATCTTAAATGTCTGAGATAAAAAAAAGTGCACAATTAAGACTAGGTGTTTGCTTTCACATAAATATACACTAGGCACTGGAAGTGAAATAAGTCATAAAGTAGTGTTAAGCCTTGGCATTAATTTTTAAAGTGAAAATGGTAAAAGTTTTGCACTAAAACAAAAAAGTGTGCTGATTGAACAGAGGGAAGAGCAAAAAAATGAAGCTTATTTCTTGATGTTGTTCCCTATTGAAATATGTGTAACAAAACCTTGGGCAGTCTTCACCATGCAGGGAGAGATTGTGGTTTAGTAATGTCTGGTTTTGGCCCTAAGTGTTACAACGTGTAGAAAGATGTACGACTCTTACTAGCACTTGCTTATTGCCTTTAAACTGCATCTCGATGACTTCCGAAAAGAGGCCAGACCTCCTCCTTTAAAAGCCAGCTTTCCAACTGTTCTCCCATTAGGGTAGCATGACGGCTTCCCACGCACAGGAAGTTGGCTTGTATCTTCGCTTCACTCTCCTCTCGCCCCCCGCCCCCCAGAGCCGTTGAAAGTGGCGGGAGACAAAAAACTAGGACGGTTTCGGGGGTGGGGAATTAAACGGAGAGGTTCCGTTTTACGGGGAAGCTCAGCTATGTGTGGCCCCGCTGCGATGGGTGGCAGGAAAAAACGTGGCTCGTTACACAGCGGGTCCGCCTCGCCTCTGTATTAAAGCGTTAAAAGATTTCATAAACGTGTTTCTGAACAGACTTAACACCGCAGGCCTGTTGGAAATATAAGCGTAGACATTATATAAAACAATTAATAGAAATTATTTGCAGTGGCAGAATTACCACCTTAACCTTGCATCTCCCCCGGCTGCGCAGACGTCTGTAGTTCTGAAAGTTGGGGGGGGGGAGGAGTTTACAACAAACCTACACACATGTACGTAGGAGTAGACTTTGCAAATGATCGCCGACGACCTGAGGCTGCTTGGAATTTCCATTCCTAAATCTCGGAACTTTTGCACTGTATCGAGACGAGCTTCCCCACTTTTCTCAGCCCCAAATCCAGCGCCGGATCGCATAGACCAGGGGTGTCCAATCTTGACAACTTTAAGACCTGTGGACTTCAACTCCCAGAATTCCCCAGCCAGCCATGCTGGCTGGGGAATTCTGGGAGTTGAAGTCCACAGGTCTTAAAGTTGCCAAGATTGGACACCCCTGGCATAGACAAAACTAGCCTTTGTGCGACCTATTGGCGCGCAGACGTTACATCCAGCTGTTTGTTTGCACTGGCAAAAGAGGGGCCGGGGAGTGAAACCATGAACACACAACACTTAAATATATAGTGCTGCTTAAACATTAACGAATTACAGAGTCTCGCCCTCACGCACCAACACTTGCGCGATAACGAACATAACGAAGAGAGCCGACTCCGGGCAGTTTTTTTCAGCAGTTACGTCCCCCAACTGTTGTGGCAATACAAAGCCTGCCTTCCTGACCGACGATGCATGGGCGACGCTCCAAGTGACTTAGCGAGGAAACCGAGGAAAGTTCGTTGCGCGGCTGCCCCCACCAGCACTAAAAGACGCCACAAGAAAGATATATTTTGGTTTGGAGAAGATGGATAGATTATATTGAGAATAAATATGGAACTAAAAAGTTTCATTTGGTTTTTGAGTAAATTTTAGATTGTTAATGTAGTTTATTTTTTTTTAAATTAGTAATAATAATGTTTAATATGTTTGTTCAGAAGAGAGCTAAAGGATGTTATAGAATTTATTTATTTATTTATTTAATTACATTTATATCCCGCCCTTCTCCTTGCGGACTCAGGGCGGCTGACAATAGATAAAATGCTAACATGTTATACATCTAATTAAAAATTGTTAACTTAAGGGTGATATAATGTAAGACAGAGTACAATTGTTGTATTGTTAACCCTGTGTGTGGCTCTGGGAAGTCGGGGGGGGAGGGAGNGGGAGGGGGGTGGGGGAGGAGGGGAGTTATATTGTAAAACTTTTAAAAAATTTTAATAAAAAAAATAAATAATAAAAAATAAAAGACGCCACTCCTTCTCTTTTTCTGCCGCTCGAGACGGGACTCGAAAGCCCCGCCCGCACAGCTTCTCAAAACTAATTTCCAACGGGCAACTTCGACTTCCGCTTCGGGGAAGCGCCAGGCCGAGTTTGCGCAGGGAGCCCGCCAGCGCGCGCTGTTGCGCACGAGTCTCCCCCCCCCCTCGAGAGTCTATAGGCGGGGGGGGTTTTCCAAGCGCCGGAAACTTGTCCGAAAGTTCCGAGAAGCGCCCCCCCCCCCGGCTCCCCCCCGACCTGCCCGTTGCCAGCAGCGGCGTTTTTACGGGTTTCGGCGTCTCGCGCGGAGTGCAGTTGAGTGAGGGAGGGGGCCATGTCCGGCGCCTCCAACGTCGCCACTATGAAGAAAGTGGTGCAACAGCTGCGGCTCGAGGCCAGCGTGAGCCGCGTGAAGGTGAGCCCCCGGGGTGGGGCGGAGACCAGGCCGCCCGCCCGTCCGTCCGTCGGAGCGCCTCGGCCGCCATTTGCGCACCTCGGTGGAGAGAAGGCTGCGCGGGCGCTCAGTTGCGGAGCCGCCTCGGGAGTCTTTCTCGGGCCTGAGGAAGAGCGCCCCGGGGGCCTGTACAGAAGTACTTTTCTTTTAAAAGTACTTCTTAACGTGTGACACCCCCCCCCCCAGGATTCCCGAGGGACCCTCCCCGAGACCCTCTTAGGGGTCCGCGAAATCGAAATTATTTGTCAATTTGTGCTGAAAAAAAGAACAGCATTGAAATACGGACAACAATTTCTGTATAAAGAATATTTATTGCGGAGCCGCCTCAGAGACTTACTTTCTCGGGCCTGAGGAAGAGTGCCCCCAGGGCCTGTACAGACTGCTTTTCTTGTAAAGTACTTCTTAAAGTGTGACACACACACACACACACACACAGGATTCCTGAGGGACCCTCCCCTCTTAGGGGTCCGCGAAATCGAAATTATTGGTCAAATTTACGCTGAAAAAAAATAATAACAGTATTGAAATCGGACAACTTAGGAAAGTAAATGCGCCCGTTTTAATACAGTAAATATCGATAAAAATAACCCCCGCAAGCAAAAGCTCTTTGAGGCTTTCTTCATAATTTTGAAAGGTGGGAAAAGATCCCTAGAGGGAAAAAAAAAATGGAAGAAACACTGGCCTCTATAATGCTCTACGATTTAATTCCGTCTCAGCAGCCCTAACCATAATGTGCGGGCCCCTCCCTGGCAAACCAGATCTAGCCCGTCTGCTCTTGATTTTATCCGGGGCCCTCCAGATGTATTGAACCAAAGAAGCCCCAAATTGTATTTTTTTTTTTCCCCAGGCTGTGGGAGTTGGGAAGGAGGGGCGCCGTGTTGCCGAAGTCGGTCCCAGTCGCAGTGTCCGATTTTCCACTTGGATCAAGTTTTTGCTGACTCTGATCCTTTTGCGGTTCGTTCAGGGTTTCCCCGTTTAGGTTAGGGATCGTTGTGAAAGGAAGGGCGCAGTTTTGTCATCTTGATCCAGATTCTAGAGCTTTTTTGTTCTTCAGAGGCAAAGAAAAGAATAAACGCCATCTGGCAAACCAAGGTTGGGACTCCACCCTTGTTGCAAAATGGGGAGTGTGTTATTGGCTAGGAAAAGCTGGAGAAGGAAGAAATTATTCGCTGGGTTTTGTTTTTCCAACCTGAATCAAAACACACTTTGCTTTCGTTGTTAATTAGAAACAATTGATTGTAATAATGCTGCTTGCTACTGTACATTAATCATCTTCAAAACATGAATTGTAACACGTTTGCTTTCTTCCTTAATCGGGAAGACTCATAATAAAATAATACCACTTGCTAATGCACATTTCATAAGCATCTGGGACCCTTCAATTTGTCTTTTACAAGAATTCTGAAGAGCAAAAAATGCATTGTCATATTTGACAATAGCCAAACATGAATTTTAATATTGAAAGTTAGCTTGTTGAGCAGTTACTGAGCTTTTAATATACTTTAGCAAACCATCCATATTTTCATTTGATGTTCCATCAATAACAATATGCTTTGGAACAAATATCATAGTCCTTGATTATTACTTTGAGATATTCAGGAAATGACATACAACACCTGCAACTGTAAAAGACTTGATTTAAAAGCTGGTGATTTAAAAAGGCTGAATCTGGGAGTTATATTAGTTGGCAAGAACTTGATAAGATTTTGTATGAAGATAGGGTATGGATTTGACAATCCCAATGTTCTCATATACTGTTGATGGGATAATTTTGGGCAATATTGCAATTAATCTCATACTGTATAGGTAATCGTTAACTTATGATCATAATTGAACTTGGAATTAGAGTCATAAGTTGCAGTCATAAATTAAGGAATCATGTGACTGAATTGGAAGTTACAATCATTTTTCCAATAATTGATAAGCAAACATAGCAGTAAATCCACTTTTCCCAATCAAGTGTTTTTTGGAAATATGAGAAACTGGCAAAAAAAACCCATCACAAATTGTGGTCACATGATCACAGGACACTGCAAATGACTGTAAAGGTGAGCCAGTTGCCAAGTACTCAAAATGTGATTACATGACCATGGGTGTGTCTGCAGCTGCTGTAACTCCAAAAATTGTAAGTACCTAGGTAGGTCAGTTGTAACTGGTTGGTTGTAAGTTGAGGTACCTGTACAGTCATTGAGGAAAAACCCTGTTTTTTATATCTGACCAGTTTAAACATCAGTTATTAATTATATTAATAAAATATAATATTACATTATGTAAATGTGGTTTTCTGTTCATAGGTTTCACAAGCTGCAGCTGATCTGAAGCAGTTTTGCCTTCAAAATGCACATCACGATCCTTTATTAACAGGAGTTTCATCAAGTACAAATCCATTCAGACCACAGAAAGTCTGTTCTTTTCTCTGATTTGGTAAGCCACTGGAATCTTTCACTTGTAAACCTTTAAAGTTAACTATGACTTCACTTTCCCTAAAGCAGGGGTGGTGACCTATAGACTTTTTTTTTTTTGGCAACCTTACACAGTGTTGCTTGGTTGTAGTTGTAAAAGTAATCAGAAATTCTGTTTCTGGAAATAGAAAATAAACACAAAATAAGAAACTTACCATTTTAAAAAATAAATTTTCCCCACATTTCCTTTAAAACTTAGAGAAGCACAGCCTGATCTATGTGTCTCTTAAAAGGCATTAAGTGTCGGTCTCTCCAGCCATCCAATGGTTGCCACCCTTGTCCTCGGTATAGCTATTCATGACTTATCCTTCAAAATATGTCAAATGCTTTCTTGTAAGCTAATTATATACAGGGCTTCTGGGAAGTAAGTCTCTTTTTATTCAGCACTTACTTCCTTGTAAGTGTCAGATTGTACCTTAAGTTTTTACTTAAATTTGTAGTCTAACAAAAGTATCATTTTTATTGAAAGATATATGACCAATATTTCACAATTTATTAGAATTTTGAATATTGAACTAGTCTTTCACAGCAGAGTTCGTTCTTATTGAAAGAGGTAAAGAACCCTGAATGTTTAGCTTGACTTGCCATAACTACATGCCAAATACACGTAGTAGTTTGTAATAAGTGGTTGGACATTGCATTCTACTAGGAAGGTTTTTTCCTAGACTAGTCTGGGATTTCCTGATGGTTTCCCAATTAAGTGGTATCCAGGTTTAACTGTTTCAGCATCCACCAGGCTTGGCTAGGTGCCATTACATGATCTCTTTATGGGAATGAGATATAGGTAGTCCTTGACTATGACTATAACTTAGATGATGGCACTGAAGAAATGGTAGTTATGACTGGGCTCTTGGATATTTGGCTATCTCAGTACGCCTGTGGTCATGGGATTGTGATTTGGATACATGGTAACAGGTTCAAACTTAGCAATCATGTGATTGTCATTTGCAACCTTCCCTGTCAGCTTCCCCCAAAGACAATGGAGAAGCTGACAGGGAAGGTCTGTCACAAGTCACTGAGATCAGTCTCCCCCATTTGCCCTTCTCCCACAGGCCCTCTATGCTTGCGCTGGCCACTTGTGCACCTCCTTCCACGCTTCCCAACCCATGCTGCACCTCTTGTCATCCCTTTGCATTCTTCCTGACCTGTGTTCTTGTACTCCTTGTCTAATCCATAGCACACCTTCATGCACCCTTCCCAGCCTGCACTTCTCACACATAGCCTAATCCAGCAGTTCCCAATCTTTGTGGTTTGGCGACCTAGCTGGGGGGGGGGGAGAGGAACTGGACTGCTGCTCATTCACGTGGCCCAATTCCGAATAGACATGGCCCAGTAATGGGCCACGGTCCAGGGGTTGGGGATCCCTGGCTTGGTTCCTTGATTGGCATTGTGTCTGTCATACATCCCCTTATAGCTATCCCTACTCTCTTGCCCCCACTCAGCAGCATCCATTTATCTCCCTGTTGCTCTGGGTCTTGCGGCCCCACTGACTTTAGGGGTGGGAAGTCAGAAGGAATTTGCCTCAATTAATGACTCTGGGATTCAATTAATCATATCAAACTGGACTGCAGTTTGTCATCACTAAGTGATGCAGTTGTGTTTTATGACATCACTTAGCAAAGGAAATTCCAGTCCCCATTGCCATTATAAGTCCAGGATTATATGTATTTTGAAACCTGGTAGTGATTTTTATACATTGTGCCCAATTTTGTATAATTCCATGATTCATTGATTTTCTTTTATTGTACTTTTATGCCAGTGATGGCGAACCTTTTAGAGACCGAGTGCCCAAACTGCAACCCAAAATCCACTTATGCATCGTCAAGTGCCGGGTGGGTGTGGCCCATTGGCTGGGTGTGGGCCATTGAGTGGGCGTGGCCAACTGGGTGGGCGTGGCTGCAGTGGTAACGTTAGACTGGGTGGGACTAAAAAGTTCAATCAATTCCAACTTTCCAAGATCTTTTTTTTCCCGCGAGAAGTTGAAATTGACTGATTGAACCTTTTTTTTTTTTTACACACGGTGGCGGAGGCCTAAAGCGAAAAGGTTTTATAAAACCCAGCTAAAGGCCTAGGACTGGGGCGACGGTGCACGTGCCCACAGAGAGGGCTCTGAGTGCCGCCTCTGGCACCCGTGCCATAGGTTCGCCACCACTGTTTTATGCCATCAATTAACAGTTTTCTCGATGGTATTTTGTCACCTCTATTGACCTTTACTCTAAATTAAGTTTCCTGGCAGATCAAATATATCCTGTGGTTCATTTTTTCCTCACAGATGTTATCTTTAAAAGTCCAATTTTCTTTCAGACTTTACATTATTGGGAAACAGATAATAAAAAGTGATGATTACACCTAATATACTTAGAAACAAATCAGTTCAGCAATTTTATCAAAAATTGCATATTATAGCTATGATATGTTATATTTTTAAGTGGATAGTTTTATATGAATTCTATTTTAACTGAAAGTTTTTCTTTTATACCCTTTCAAAGTAGCTTTATAAGTTAACAATTTAATCTTCAGTAAATAATCTCTTGGCTCTCTTGTACTAGTATTTCATTGCTACATTTTTTTCCTAATTCAATCAGAATTTTTACTGTATTTCCATGTAAGCCTATTACAAAACTGTTATTCTGGTCAATGACTAGAACAGATGTTCTGCTCTGGTTGATATGCAGTAATTTCAGTTATACATCTACTTAGAGAACAGCCTAACATTCCCCATTCCAGTTAAATACATGAATAATAATAGCAAATACCCCTCCCCACATCATGACTGAACAACAAATATATAAATTGAGTATTCACTTATTGCTGAACAGGACAATAATGGAAGTGACACAATCTCATGTTTGTGGTTTTTTAAATACGCCCTTGTGAATATTTTTATAGATTAGAACTACATATGAGGGCATTCTATTAATGCCTTTTTATGGGATTTTGTTAACAGAAATTTTAAAAATTATGTGGTCACTACATAAGACGTAACTACAAAATATGCTCAGCCTGACCTAAACTAGCATTGGCCTACCCAATAAACTAAGAGCATTTCTGACTTGCTGAAATTGTCTTGGCTAATACGTTGATCATCTTTACCATATGGACTGTCTTCACCCTTCTAATTTGTTCCTTGGTGAAGTAAAAATGAGTATTTCTGTGATAGACAAAGCATGGAATAACTCATTTTCTGTCCCCATCTCTTTACTCTCAAATATACATGTACACAATAATGGGAAATAATTGTGAAAAAGGGGAGTTGGGAGCTCCATTTTGTGCTACTTTAGTGTCTTCTCTCTTGGTTTGGAAGCCAATAAAGGGGGTAAAGAAGTTTAACCACAAAGTAATGTTCACTTGTTAGCTTACATTATAAGTGAACATGGCCAGCAACTGATTTCTTTGGCTTATTTTGATTTGTTGTACTGTATTGCAAACTACTGTTAACATGTCACGAGTTTAAACATTTGTCAGTAACATACAACTTAAATATTATGCTTAGCTTTGTTCAATGAGTTTATGCATTCCTCTGTCTTACAGATCTAACAACTTTTCCTAGCTGGTTATGTTGAATATGGAAATGAAGCAAGATGGCTTGGAACCTGTATAGAAACTTTGTATTAATGTGCCAACTTTGAGCTTGTAAGATTGCTATTGTTTCAAACCCCCTTAAAATCTACCTCTCTAAACAAGCTGTATGCTAATTGCTATAACTCTGTATCTATCATGAGGGAATCAATTTTATATTCAAGCAATAGTTGACATGATTTTGAATGTTAGCATAAAGTATTTCAACTTGTCCTAATACTTTGAACTGTGTATCTAAAACTTCACTATTGTTCTAAATACTGTCAGTTCATTTTGTAAAAATATTCCTGCTTTTCCAAAACAAAATAGCATCTTCATCTAAACAAATTAGTAATTTACAATCAGTATAGTACTTTTTTCTTTTTTGTTATATAGTCATAGCTAATTTGGAGTAAACTGTATTCGCGTCTAGAAGCATCCTAAATTGTGAATATCCTCCTACAAGACTCAAAAAAACAAAATAAATGCCTTGTTATACACTATTTACCAATCTAATACGATTTTATTTCTTTTCTGTTTTAAAAAACTTTTAAAGCTAGAGTGGCATAAATTAGTAAAAAAGGAAGTCAAGCTTGAAACTGATTACTAAATACATAACAGAACAAGAATATAATGTAGATTTTAAAATAGTTTTGGAACAAACGCTGCATAATCTTAAATAACTGGTTGCATAGAGTTTTTCTTATTTACAGGTCCATAATTTCTCATACCTGACAGGTCAAAGCAAGATCCAAGTTAACCAAGCTGACTGTCTCAGTTTATATTAAGTGCAGAGGGTAATGCTCAGTTGGGTATAACATTCATTTGAAACAATCATTCCGTGTAGAACATTGATTTAATTTTCTGATCTATCTGCAGAGTGATTTTTAAGGTATAGTTCAGTTTTATATCTAAAATCCTCCTTTCCTTTGAACATCTGGGGGACAATGAAAAATGGGGAATACATAGTTTATCATTGTGTTCAAACTGGGAACTGCTTTGTAGTACCTATATGTATGCAAACAAATATTAATGCATTTAAGATTGATCTGTAGATTAAAATTACAGATGAACTGGGTAATATTGATCAGATTATATTCAAGAGGTTTTGGTTTTTTCTCACTCCTTAAGGAAGCCCTGTGATTATAGATAACAGAACTTTCATTATTTCAAGTTTCATTAAGATGGACAGAGAAAATGGGTTATTACCTAATTTCTTCTCCCTTTTAAAAAATAAGATTCATTTCCCCATGTATTTCTTGTATAAGCATTTGGCTGAATATTTCTGTTCCTTGTCTAATTTTAAAACAACTTTAATTTAGCTTACTGAAGGTCAAAATAAACAAGGTTTGTGTAGCCACTTTCTACATCTGGAGTTATATTATTTTTCTGCATTAATGAGCTACGCTTGGAACACTCACTAATACATGGTAATAGTATTTGACATGTAAAATGTTTATTTTTGACAACATAACCAACATAAAACCTTATTTTAGCATCCAAAACTAGATATATTTTAATTCAGAATAAGCTGTGAAAGAGTTAAGTTACAAAACATTTCTGAGAAGGGTCTATGACTTTTTAACATAAGAAGATAGTGGCCGATGCAGTCTCTCCCCCAACTTGAAGTCTTCTATTATTTATAAAAAGTAACTTGAGTTTTCAGCCCTGAAGAGAACAAAGTCATGGCCATGTTGAAAGGCGGGGAGAGGGTGCTCCATGTATAACCTGAATATCTTCAAGGGTATTCCAGAAGCTTTTGTTGACATGAAAAATACCAAAATGGCATTTCTGTGTTCATTCTTATAAATGAAATTTTCTTCGGCTTGTATCCATTTCACGGCGCTAAAAAACAGCAACATTCATTATAGTTTGCTCAAAAATACAAATATTTGTAAATTCCTGTACTACAATCCAGATTCTGGAGTAATAAATTAATACAAAATTACAAGATTTTGAAGGCATGCCTAGAATAAAAGTAATTATAATATCACAACAAACTTGTCAGCCTAGGTTTAGTCTGGACCTTTAGACTTCTTACTGCCAAACAAGAATGTCCGTTAATAAAGATTTATTGGTATCATCTTAAGCACATAGACATCCATTAAACTTTTGTACACCCCTTTATCTGGGGACATCCTCCTGCTTTCTAACAACCTTCAAGCTTAGAACTCAAGTAGAAATCTTTTTAGCATGTAATATAAATGCAAAAGCTTCTTTTATCTCCCTTCTCTGCACCAGCTTATGCATATTTACACAGAATTCCCATTTATTTGATCTGATTAACTTGTTTTTGAAACCTTATTGTTTCTCCAAATAATTTTAAATAAATAACCTTAAAATGCATTGATGTGAGGATACAATACTGCATTGAAAATAGTATAGTTATAAATAAGCAAGGCTCTCTGATTGTGTTAAAGGCCATCTAAAATTTTATAGCACTCCGACTGTTCCTTTTCAATTATATTTTGAATATTTTTCTTTTGATAAATGAGTCCCATTTGGTACCACAAAAGTACTTTTGAAGGCTAGGATCTCTAATATGGGTTGGGCATGTGCCAAAAATAACTTAATACTGGTAATAAAAATTATTCTTACTATTCTCTAGGATGCAATTATTGTAATCTAAGCTTATCATTTTTATGAGTGACTTGTGATTAATTATAGAAATTATGTGTCAAGTATTTAAAAAATATCTCAGTTATAATTATAGGTAGTGAGAACATGAAAATAATCCTACTGGCTCTGACTAAAGGCCAGTTAGTCAATATTCCATTTCACTGAGTGGCCCATCAAATGCAATTATAGGTAGTCCTTGCCTTACAGCCATTTGTTTAGTGACTGAAGTTTTGATGGCACTGCAAAAAGTGACTTAGGACTGGTTCTCACATTAACAACCACTGCAGTATTCCACTTAGTGACCAACATATGTTTATGATAATTGCAGTGTACTGGTCAAGTGATTTGTTATTAGTGGTTATTAGTTTCAACGCAGTATTCACTTGACTGCATGTTTCACTTACAACTGTGACGATTCATTTAATGACCATAGCAAAAACTGTTAAAATTGGATGCAACTCATTTAATGACCACCTTGCTTAGCAATAAAAGTTCTGATCCCAATTGTGTTCATAAGTCCAGGACTACCTTGTAATGGAAGGTTTAGATTACCTTGGGGAATGAGGGGAATAGATGCTGCCTAGGAAACAACCAGACAAGAGACACAGGAGCTCTCAGTGGCTTAATGGTCAGAGAATGAAATTTAAGAAGGACCTGTATTTTCAGACTTGAAAGATTCTGTTAACGTAGCCTTACAATAAAAGAGAATTGTTCATCTAGTTGTGTTTCTTGTGTGGTTTACTTGAGAGGGTTGATTATATCCGTATGTAACTTGCAAATAGGAAATCAAAGTAGCTGTCTCACTGTCACTCACATACACCTAGTGCAGGGGTAGGCAACCTTGGCTCTTTTATGACTCGTGGACTTCAACTCCCAGAATTCCTGAGCCAGCCAAGCTGGCTCAGGAATTCTGGGAGTTGAAGTCCACGAGTCATAAAAGAGCCAAGGTTGCCTACCCCTGACCTAGTGTATATAGATAGACTGTCCTCATATCTGCAAGCAGCATCCACTATTGATAGATATAACACTTTGTAAGAAATTCTTTAACTGCAAAATTCAGCCAAATACCAGCAGTATATAAGATTCTGCAATGCTTTATTGAGGGACAATACCTTGTGAATCCATTCATATTCTCCAAACTTGGAGTCAAAAGTTCCTTTTTGAAGAGACCTTAATTTTAAGGTAAAACGTGGGCCTAGTTCTTGAATGGCCACTTTTTTCTCATCTTTGAAGATGTATCTATTAAAGGCAATACACAGCATTAACAAAGTGGTCAAACAGACATCACTTGTAGCATCAATGTTTAAATACTTACCTATGAAATCTGAAAAAGACATAATCACGCTGATTGTGAAATGTAGCTACTTGTCTGCCAACAAACTGAGGATCATGAGGAAAGAGAGAAGCCAACATGCGACCAATGGAATGGCCCAACCGTGTTGTGAAATTATTCAGGATTATTTCAGGCTGATGTTCTGTGGGATTTTTTCCTTTTCGCTAAAAGTTGATGATGAAAACATTGTATTAAATGTTAACATTAACTAGCAGAGAAATTTGACTACTGAAATAAACTTACCTTTATTTCTTTACGTAGACGAACACTGCTCACCCTAAAGTGAGCAGTTGGGCCTTCAGGCAAATGACTTAATACAAGCCCATCTATTTCAAATGTGTTAAGATACAATTAAACATGTGATTTATAACTAATACAATTTATGCAAAAAAACATTTTCCCCAGAAAATCCATACTCTAAAACAATAAATTTGGGGACTTTGTACTTCATGTCCAGTTTCAGTTTTAATAAACATGCCATACAGAAAAAAGTACTAAATTCTTTCTCTTCTAATCCAATAGTAAATTTGCTGCTCTATAAGAGATGTTGATACAAAAAGTACCACACAGTTTTCATGAAGGATACTTGGTATTTTACGATCTTCATTAATAACAATCAGATCTGTAAACTCCCTTGAAATACACTGTGGAATAATTTTTTTTAAAGCCAGTCCTCTTCGATAGTAAACATGTGAATTTGGAATACACGTGGATAACTGTTCACAGAATCTTACAGTTCTCTGCCAAAACAAAAAAAAGGTTCAATATACTGTTGTGTGTGTATATATATATACATGTATGGGTGTGAATGAATCACCTTTCTTTACTCCTATAAAGAAATTTAGGTCACACTTCAGATAGTCTCTTTATATAAGGAAAGGAGACAACTATTGGATTATGTTAATGACCCAGAACTTGCAGAAAAGAAACGCTGTGCTATCTACAGTTCATGAAAAAAATATTTGAACAGAACAGAGCTGGAAGGGACCTTGGAGGTCTTCTAGTCCAGCCCACTGCTCAAGGAGGAGAACCTATACCATTTCAGATAAGTGACTGTCTGATCCTTCTTAAAAACCTCCAGTGATGGAGCACCTTCCGTTCCACTGATGAACTTAAGCATTCTTATTATTTTTTATTTTTTTTATTTAAACTTAAAACTTTTAAGTTTACCAATGACTATTTCTATCAATCAATTTTGGCTATAATACAGCATCCATACAATGAAAGGCAACAGTGATTGCTATAAAATTATTAAATGTTTACTGTTCATTGTATCTCACACACACAAACTAGTTTACAAAACAATATAATACATTCAACAGTCCACATTATTAAGTACACATATTCCTCAATCAAAGCAAAATATTACCAATTTTAAAAAGTTAATTTACCCCACGAGGTCTGTCAGATGTAGTGATAAGAATTTTTGGAACAGTTTTCCTATTGAAGTAAGGAGCAAATTCATCTGTAGCTTCATCTAAAGTAACCTGGGAATATATAATGACATTTGTATGACATTGCAGTGATATAGTCAATTTACAGCAGGGGTGTCAAACTGCCGGCCCATGGGCCGGACGCATCACCACGAAACTGAGCCCACCCCATTGCCAGCAATGGGGGAAAAGCTCCGATACGTTGCGTGACGTCATGCAACATGTCTGATTTACAAGAATCAGAACCTTCCATCTAAAAATAAAAATCAATAGCTCTGTTGTCATTTATATTGTACCTGTTACAATAAAAAAAATTACGCACAACCCTGAGACACAATCTTGCATCAAGCCCTTAGATACAGAATTATAAAAATAGTACCGTAGGCTTTATGCTTATTATACTTTAAAAATTGGAATTTAAGTTTCTTTGTCTAGGCCAGCATCATCTGTCAGCAAGTTCCTACATCAACTTCCACATCAACTAATTATAATTACATATGCTAGATTTTAAATATGGCTCATTTGCAAGAAACTTTTCAGACAGAAAAAAATGTCAGACAAAATTGTTTTAAAAGGAAGAGTCTGAAGAATTGAATGTTGAAGAAATGGATGCATGAACTTCAAATAACCATCCTGCCAACTGTTACAATATATTACAGAAAGGTAAAAATGTCTAATT